GGTGTTTCCATGTAAAAAAAAAAAAAAAAACTTTAAGAATTGGTAATTTGGCTCAAAACCTTGACTTAAGTGGGACCTCGGTGACATTATGATAATAAATTATGATGTCACCCCTGAAGATAAGTCATAAAAACTTTTAAAAAAAGAAGCTATGAGACAGGATGAGAGGAAAAGTAAGAAGAGGAGTGACAAGGACTTGGAAGAAAGAATGAGAGACCAGAAATGAACTGAAGAAATGTGCTTAAATATTAAAGGTCAGATATTATTTTATATGGTGGTTTTATATGGTTTATGTGGTGTGGAATCTGAAGGTGTTCTTGAGCTGATCTCATGGGCGTTACATGCCGACGGCTGACATCATGTCACTAAGCTGACAGAAAGAGAGAACAAGAAAGAAATAAAACAGAGACCATGGGATGGGGGATTATTAGGAGATGTGGTGAAAAAGACAAGGAGGACGAAAGACTTGAGACATCACGCATAAAAAAACTGAGGGAAACAGAAAGTCCCAGAGAAAGTAGAGGATGAATATAATGAAAGTGGGAAACAGACAGAGAGGGAGAGAGAGTTATGGCTGTACGTTCTGCCAGTGGCTCTTTTCTGCAGGCGTGAACAATTGTTACTTTGTGTGCGCCGAGAGCTTTACATACGGTGCATTCCACGCGCAGCTCTCGGCCAATGGGATCGCAGCAGGAAGAGGGTCATTCCAGAGGGTCCTGAGGAATGTCTGTGCCATTGATTCCATTCCAGGATGACCTCTCTGGAGAACTGCTTTCTTTTTCCCATTCTCTCTCTCTCTCTCTCTCCGCAGCTGGGAATGCTTAAAGTCGAAGTGCGAGCGTGAGCTCTGAAAACACACACTGCACTCCACATGTGCCAAACACACCCACGCTGGGAACAACAGAGTAAAAAAGAAAAATGTGCAATTTAGCATCTTGTGCTTATATTCTAGGTTCATCTGCATGGCTGTATATAGTATGCATCATCAGCACACACTCCCCTCCGTTTCTCTATTCTCACCATTTCTGTTGTGTTTATGCGTCTGTCTCTTTCACTTTGTCCCTTTCTGTACCAATTAGCATAATATCCATCCTAACTATTACTTAGAATTAGAATTAGTGTTTAACATATTATAGTATAGTAAAATTGTAAGCCAGAAGTGCTCAGGTTGTACAATTGTTCAAGTGGACTTTTGAATTGTGATGGTTTGTGATTGTCTTGTGATTGACTTCTTATAAATGCATGATTTTAGCTGAAAGTATAATGAACTTTAGAAGTCAATTTGAAATGGCATTTACTTCACTAATCTGACATATTCTCAAATGAATCTGGATATTCAGTGAGGGAAAATGTAGACCGGGATTTTATTTAAGTAATTGTCTCTACTTCAGTTTGTTCAGGAGAGGTTAAAATATGGTGACCATACGTCCTCTTTTTCCTGGATGGGATTTCTAAGTCATCTGGGTTTTGGCTTTGCTTTCTACAGATGTGCTCTCTACAGTCTTCATTCATGAAATAATTAGTCATTTTTAAAGTAATTTACATTGCTTGGACCATTCTTTGTAGATCCCACCTTCTCGCAAGCCGATTGGTCAGTAACGTACAATGCTTGCTCGCCATTGGTCAAACCATTGGTTCAGTCATTACCTTCAGCAGTATGAAAACAATAGTAAAACAAAGGCAAAACCCCTAACACATTTTAGGCAGTTTAGTAATCCTGGCCTGGATTTGTCTGGGGAAAACAGATGTATGGTGATGTCAGTGACGAGAGGCATTACAAAGACAAACTTTTTTGGTAACACTTTATTTTAAGGTGTCTTTGTTACAGGTTACATGTACTTACTATTATAATAACAATACATTATTCATAATAACATTCAAGTAACCCTAAACCAAATCCTAGCCCTAACCATATAGTAATTACATGTAGTTAATTAATATTACTCAGTACTTATATGTATAATTACACTGCAACAAAGCCACCTTGAAATAAAGCGTAACCACTTTTTGTATTTTAATAGAATAAAACCAGGAACATGTATTGAGAAAGTGAATGTGTTTTTGTCTTTTTCATCTTGACTTTAATTTGATGGATTTAGCTAGATGCTAATTTGTAAACATAAATGCTATGTAACAAATGTATGGGTGTGTGTTATCAAGGCATGATTTTATAGCATGGTTATTATGTCCCAATATTGGTGTAGGCTATTATTTTGTTACGTACTTAAAAGTATACATTCCTATCACCATCTAAATACATACGTGAAGCATATAGTATAAGAATGCTAATTCTGTCTGTTGCTGTCTGCATCCCTCGCTCTTTTTCACTGTCATTCCCTCTCTAACACCCTTTGATGCAATCATTTCAGTGTCTGACATCAGTGAATAAGATTGATTATTAATGCCTGGCCTGCCACTCATCGTCATGGCTGCCGTCTAATTAGTGTTGCAGAACTGCAGCAGCAGTTTCCAGTTAAGATTTGGCAAGGTATCTCATGCAGCTGATGAAAGCAGTGTGTCTCTCTCATTGGACGGCGGTTTCACATGCATTTCACCTGACACGTGATTGGGTCGGCCACAAAGCCGCTGTAACCATGGCTACAAAGAACAAAACTGGGCCCACAGTTTGGACTCAACACTATTATGAGACTGACTGGAGAAAACAGCCAAGTACACCCATTACTTTGAAAATGTTTTCAGTCCTTTAATTTTTTATGATGCCAGAGTTTTTAGATGAGTGAATGTGACAGAGAATGTGTCTGGAACATTGTTAAATTTACCCAATTATGTTTCATTTAAGAATCACTTCGTCGCTGATTTTTAAATAATAGGTAAAAATTAATGATTGAAATGTAGATAAAATGAAAGAAATAAAAATATATGCAAATTAAGCAAAAGTTGACAAACATAGAGTATGTTTGAGTTCATGCTGAGATCTTTTGATTGCAGACTTTGGCATCTTTGGAAAATCGGAGCACAGTTTGAGACATTTTTGAGATCGCTCCATAAAACTCTTCATTAAAAAAAGTAAAATGAGTGGGTGATTTATTTAAATTTAGCATTTTTATATTTGTCTTGTTTAAACCTGTTTGTCTAAAAACATTTTGTTTAAATTATTTTTTTTTTTCACTTGATGTGCAGAACACATACAGGATAGCTTTACAGACTATTTCCATATTATAAATAATGTAACTTTTTATGGTAAAATTAAGTTGTAAAAAGTCATTAAAATAAATAAAATAATAATAATATTAATAATAATAATAATAATAATAATAGGTTGATTAAGTATGTGGTAATATATGTGGCATTTATAATAAATAATCTTTTTATTTTGTATGAAAGTTTTAGTCTTTAGGAAAATACACATTTTACATAATATTAAATCAAAATGTAAGGTTTAAACCAAACCATGAATATGATTTGAGAAAATCCTTTCCTACTCACCTGCATTCTCACGTCCTGACATCTCGTCTTCAGCATGCCAACCTGCAAAGAGGAAAAGAAACATTGTTACCCCTTACCTGACTCACCTACCTGGACTCTAACCTGTTACCCGCCTGTCTTCGCCGTCTGCATCATCCGTCGGACCTGTAAAGAGATACAAAGATCGGTTATCAACCTGAGCTAAGTCCAGTTATTCTCAAAGACTCTTGAGTTACTCATCCGTTTGCTCTGCATCTCTCCCCTCCGCACCAAGCTGTACATAATGAGATTACATTTACCTGTCTGTCTACCCCAGGTCTCCTTCTGTAGTGTGACAGAAGACCAGACCGTAAGATCGGATTTACAACATGAATACCCTCCTCCTTCTATCGGACCAGCTATACTCTCTTTTGTAACATGGCCGACCTCTAGTGGAATATGCCCAGGAATTCTTGGAGCTGGCCTCTGCTGCTAATTTGAAGGATGAGGAGCTGATGACATTCTTTCACGTAGGTTTGGACGGACCATTTTACTCACTGATGCCCTGGAACACGACCAATTGCACGTTGGAACAATACGTTCTATATGCCCTTCTACTAAGCTGGTCCACAAAACCATCAGACATCCGGTAATATCAGCACCTGTCATGGCCGCCAGTTGACCTTCAGTCATTACCCGTCATGGCCGGGTAGCAGTGTCGGCTTCTGCCCCTGAGTCTGCTCCAGTGTCAGCTCCAGCCCCTGAGTCAGCTCCAGTGTTGGCTTCAGCCCCTGAGTCCGCTCCAGTGTCGGCTCCAGCCCCTGAGTCCCCTCCAGTGTCGGCTCCAGCCCCTGAGTCCCCTCCAGTGTCGGCTCCAGCCCCTGAGTCCACTCCAGTGTCAGCTCCATCCCCTGAGTCTGCTCCAGTGTCGGCTCCAGCCCCTGAGTCCGCTCAATTCATCAAGTTCAGTCCAGAATCCACTACAGTCCAAACAAATTCAGAACCCCAGAATTCAGTAAAAAGCCCGCTCTAACCCTTGAATCTGCACCAGAGCCCACTTGTACCAGTGAGTTAACTCCACTGTACGAGAATCCCATCCAGACCATGCACCCATCTCAGAGCACAGCTCCAGATCAGCTCAAGCCCCTGACCAGAGTCGAGAGATGTCTCTGGCCCCGGACCAGAGTCGAGAGATGTCTCTGGCCCCGGACCAGAGTCGAGAGATGTCTCTGGCCCCGGACCAGAGTCGAGAGATGTCTCTGGCCCCGGACCAGAGTCGAGAGATGTCTCTGGCCCCGGACCAGAGTCGAGAGATGTCTCTGGCCCCGGACCAGAGTCGAGAGATGTCTCTGGCCCCGGACCAGAGTCGAGAGATGTCTCTGGCCCCGGACCAGAGTCGAGAGATGTCTCTGGCCCCGGACCAGAGTCGAGAGATGTCTCTGGCCCCGGACCAGAGTCGAGAGATGTCTCTGGCCCCGGACCAGAGTCGAGAGATGTCTCTGGCCCCGGACCAGAGTCGAGAGATGTCTCTGGCCCCGGACCAGAGTCGAGAGATGTCTCTGGCCCCGGACCAGAGTCGAGAGATGGCTCTGGCCCCTGTCCAGAGTCGAGAGATGGCTTGCGTTCCAGAGTTGAGTTCAGAGAGGGCTCCTGTCCCCGAGTCTAGCCCAGAAAGTGCTTCTGTCCCCAAGTTTAGCCCAGAGAGGGCTTCTGTCCCCGAGTTTGGCCCAGAGAGGGTATCTGTGCCTGACCAGAGTCCAGTGTGAGCTCCAGCCTCTGACCAAAGTCCAGTGCGGGCTCTAGCCACTGACCAGAGTCCAGTGCGAGCTCCCGGGCCCCGACCAGTTCCCAGTAAAGGCTCATGCCCCAAACTAGAGTCCAGAACATTCTCCAGCCCTCGACCAGAGTTCAGTGTTGGCCTTAGCCTCGGAGCAAGGTCTAATGTTGGCTTCAGCCCCTGACCAAAGTCAAGTGCCGGCTTCAGCCCCCAACAGTTGTCCAAAGCAGGCTCCAGCCTTCAACCAGAATCCAGTACAGGCCCCAGCCTTTGACCAGAGTCCAGTAAAGGCTCCTGCCAATGATCTGAGTCCTAGACACACGGCCAGGAGTGCCGTTCCCTCTTCAGTCAGATTAAAGGTCTTTGCCACGGCCAGGAGAGCCGTTCCCATCGCTGTCAGAATCAGCTACCCTATCACGGCCAGGAGTGCCGTTCCCATCGCTGTAAGAATCAGCCGCCCTATCGCGGTCTGGAGTGCCGTTCCCTCTTCAGTCGGATTAAATGTCTTTGCCTCGGCCAGGAGAGCCGTTCCCATCGCTGTCAGAATCAGCTACCCTATCACGGCCTGGAGTGCCGTTCCCTCTTCAGTCGGATTAAGTGTCTTTGCCACGGCCAGGAGTGCCGTTCCTTCTTCAGTCGGATTAAGTCCCCCTTCACGGCCAGGAGTGCCATTTCCCCTTTAGTCGGATTAAGTGTCTTTGCCACGGCCAGGAGAGCCGTTCCCCTCACTGTAAGAATCAGCTACCCTATCACGGCCTGGAGTGCCGTTCTATCTTCTGTTGGATCCAGTCTGCCACGGCCAGGAGAGCCGTTCCCATTGCTGTCAGAATCAGCTACCCTATCACGGCCAGGAGTGCCGTTCCCATCGCTGTAAGAATCAGCCGCCCTATCGCGGTCTGGAGTGCCGTTCCCTCTTCAGTCGGATTAAATGTCTTTGCCTCGGCCAGGAGAGCCGTTCCCATCGCTGTCAGAATCAGCTACCCTATCACGGCCTGGAGTGCCGTTCCCTCTTTAGTCGGATTAAGTGTCTTTGCCACGGCCAGGAGTGCCGTTCCTTCTTCAGTCGGATTAAGTCCCCCTTCACGGCCAGGAGTGCCATTTCCCCTTTAGTCGGATTAAGTGTCTTTGCCACGGCCAGGAGAGCCGTTCCCCTCACTGTAAGAATCAGCTACCCTATCACGGCCTGGAGTGCCGTTCTATCTTCTGTTGGATCCAGTCCCTTCGTCCCGGCTAGGAGTGCCGTTCCTTCTTCAGTCGGATTAAGTCCCCTCGTCACGACCAGGAGTGCCGTTCCTTTTTTAATTGAAAGAAGTTTCCCCGGCCCGGCCTGGAGAGCCATTCCTACTTCAATGGAAAGAAATTCCCTTGTCACGGCCAGGAGAGCCGTTCCTTCTGCTATGGAGAGTACTTCTTCAGTCTCAGCCAAGGAAGCCATTTCTTCCATGAAATTAAAATCCCTAACCTCGACTCCTGTACTCTGGTGGTCGTCTCCTCCAGAGCACCCTCCCGTGTCCGCTCCTCCAGAGCGCCCAGTCACAATCCCAGTCACCAGCTCAGTCACCTTACTTCATTAAGGACTCCATTTCCCAGCATCCCGCCTGCTTCACACCTGCACCGAATCCCCAATCAGCACACCTGCCACCATTCACCTCATCACCTACTATATATAAGCAGTCACTTTTCACACCCTCATTGTCTGGTCTCGTCAAGGTTTACCCATACCTGATTCCTTTCCTACTCACCTGCATTCTCACGTCCTGACATCTCGTCTTCAGCATGCCAACCTTGCAAAGAGGAAAAGAAACGTTGTTACTCCTTACCTGACTCACCTACCTGGACTCTAACCTGTTACCCGCCTGTCTTCGCTGTCTGCATCATCCGTTAGACCTGTAAAGAGATATATATAATTATTATTATTATTATTATTGATATTTGTGAGATTACTTTTGTCTTTTTCCCCATTTGCTATTTATTTAATGCTATTGTTATCTATGAGAAACAATTGCAATATTAAAAGACACTTCTTTCTCATTGTTATTAAGTCTAGTAGATGAAGGCTGCTGTAAAGGCTTTTTCTTCTTCCTTTCCTTTGCAGAAGTTCAGGAGGAGAGTGCAGGAGTCGACACAGGTCCTGCGGGAGCTGGAAATCTCATTACGGACCAATCACATCGGGTGAGTTCGTCTGTGTGTATGCGTGTTCATTAAATACTGCTCACACTGGAGCTGTGATCACTGCTCTGAGTAACACAGACACACTCCAAAAGCCCTCATGTAAGATGCATTGAAGCTGAAATAATGCTCTTTTGTGTGAGGCGGTGCATGTAACAGCCAAATGCTCCTGACTGGACTTGTCATATTTCTGCATAGTGGAATTCTGCTTGAACGCCAACCCACCAGGTTTTTCTTTTGGGAATCCCTGCTCAGCCTAATCAGAGCGGAGAAATTCTGAGATTTTGTCAGAGCTGAAAATCACACACCCAGTTGCATACTGGGAACTAGGATTGACCAGATGTGGAAAGGCTGACGGAACTCGGCAAGGTCGGGAAAATGTCACAACAGGAAAACGGGAAGATGTGATATTCCAGTACCAACCAGCACACACTCTTTCCTTGTCATCCCATAAATGAGTGTTATTATAGTTTCATTATTTCAAGGGTGGTTCAGACCAGACAAACATACTCCCAGAAACCCCCGAGCTGCTAGACAACCCGTACAGAGATTTAGCTGCCGTATGGTACTAAACTAGATTACATAAATGATCTAGTTAATCTAGATGAGATAAAGCAGTATTATCTGCTCACAGAGGGTTCGACAAACACAAAACAACAGAATGGTAACTCAAACCCTGTCCCTAGAGTCGCATATGTGTTCCTTCTTTCCCCAAACAATGTTTCTCCCATTTGTTCATTATGTTAAAGTTATATTTTAAGGGATAATGTACAGTCAGCTGATCATTAATGCAAAATAAACCCTTTGAAAATAATAGTGCAATATTTGACTTAAATGAAGTATTCCAAGAACCATGATATACATGATATACATGTTATGTATACAGACTTAACAATTTGCTTATATGAGACTAGTTCTATTTTTCATAGTTCCCTCATAATGTTCAGATATATACATTTAGTCACATACGAGTTAAACTGCTCATTAGAAACTCAAAAGAAATAGAGACATCATTTTTCTTTCACAACTGTGAGGTTTTCAGGTGTTGGCCTACTTTTCACTGCTAAGAAAAGGTAAAAACTGGCTTTTGATCATTTCTGGGATCCTCGCGGTCTTTGTCAATGTGATTGTGAGTGAGTGTGTGTGTGTGTGTGTGTGTGTGCGGTATTCTGGGATGTCTCTGCCGTGTCTTTGAAGTATATCTCATTGCTGTTGCTCTGAGGGAGAAATCCAGCTACATGAAACCTTTGCTTTCAATCTTCGAACTGCGTTGAAGCTGTTTTTTAAGCTACTGAGACGCCGTTCCATGATGCATATTTCATGACATCTGTCTCCGTATGGAAGTGCGGTTTCTGAATGCTGGGACACACTGTGAGCTCTGTGGAGTCTCCTGGATTATCTAGTCTAAATACTGCATGCTTACTAGTGGTGTAATTAGTGATATAGCACTATAATGCAGTAATGATAAAACATATCAAAGTAATACAGTAATGCGTACAAACTTTTGATGGACAGGTTTTTTTTTTTGTTGTAATTATCTCTCTCTCTCTCTCTCTCTCTCTCTCTGTTTAGGTGGGTGCGGGAGTTTCTGAATGAGGAGAATAAGGGTTTGGATGTGTTGGTGGAGTATCTTTCGTTTGCACAGTATGCTGTCACGTAAGTCACCCGTGATTGTACTGAGCATGAACACAATGAACACAATGGCTCCTTTTACCCAGACCGCTGCTGTATCTTTGTGCGGCTCTGACTACATGCCTTACTGCTGCTCTGAGAGGACCCACGAGTGTGCGTGTGTGTGTGTGTGTGTGTTAGAGAGCCTGTTCACTGAGATCAGATCAAGTCACAAGATCTCATTTACAACCAATAGCATTTTACAACCTGATAAGTAACATGTTTTAGTGTATTTTGGGGGAAAAGACTATCACACCCCAATGCCGCAACACAACATACTATACACACTATAAGATTTGTTAGTGTGTTTGAAAAAAGTATCTTAACTCATTAGTTTATTAAATGTACAGTTAAAGAAGTAATGTTATGAACTTTTTGTTTGCAATTTAAAAGGACTCTTTTCTTTTTTAATATTTTTAAGCTTGATTTTCAGCATCGTTACTCCAGTCGTGTCACATGATCTTTCAGAAATCATTCTAATATTCTGATTTGCTGCTCAAGAAACATTTCTGATTATTATCAGCAGTTGTATTTCTGTGGAAACCATGATACAGTATTTTAAGATTATTTGATGAAAAATCTAAAATAACAGCATTTATTTAGAAAAAAAAGATTTTTTTGTAACAATGTAAGTCTTTACTGATTGAATTATTTATTTTAAAACTTTTAAACAGTAGTGTAACTAGCCAGTTCAGTAGGCATTGATTGATTGATTGATAAAAACATCATCTACACACATTTTCAAAAATGTGTTCATGCTATACACATATGTAAACAAAACATAAATGTGAAAAAAGTTTGTGTTTTACAAAAACTTCAGTCATAACAGTCATTTAAAAAATATATTTTTAATATTATTATTTTACCATGATTTTTAAAGTATTATTTTATTTTATGAAAGTATTAATACGTGTTTCTTAAGTGAATTAGGGTTAGGATTATAATTTTTGCAGTGCATGTAAGCAAATGTCCCATGACCACAGATAAAGTATGTTTTAGGAGGATGTACAGAAAACAAACAATATAATATTCTTATGTTGGTAAGTATGTGAAAAAAGTTTGTGTTTTACAAAAACTTCAGTCATAACAGTCATTTAAAAAATATATTTTTAATATTATTATTTTACCATGATTTTTAAAGTATTATTTTATTTTATGAAAGTATTAATACGTGTTTCTTAAGTGAATTAGGGTTAAGATTTTTGCAGTGCATGTAAGCAAATGTCCCATGACCACAGATAAAGTATGTTTTAGGAGGATGTACAGAAAACAACAATATAATATTCTTATGTTGGTAAGACCTGAGCCCCTGCTGCTGTGCGTTTGACAGGTATGACGGAGACAGCTCTGAGAACAGCACAGAAAACTCTGTGGATAAATCTAAACCCTGGAATCGATCGATTGAAGATCTCCATGGAGGAAACAACCTCTCATCAGCTGTCACAGGCAACAGCATCTCCAGAGCCAGCAGACATTCAACCATAAGGTGTGAACGCACAAACAGATCTTTTGTTATTACAGCAGAATCATAGCAAACAAGACGCTAATAGTATTTTATAGTTCTAATCTGAACGCGATATGGTTTGTCCGACTGCAGAGAGTGTGTACGGACTCCATGTGCTTTCTGAAAGGCTCTTTTGTATAGTCATGAGGCCTGTATGACTTTAAATGGCTTAGGAAACAGTGCACCATGTCAGAACACAGTCGACGTGTGTCTGTCTGTCCGTCTGGCCGCTGACTCACAAAACTGGATTAGACGTTTATATTCTGATGAAGAATGAACACCTGACACATCACCACCATATGAGTACTAATACAGGACCTTGCCTGTCTGTTATCGAGCAGCCTGATGACGGGACAGAAGTATTTACACGGAGCCTGAGGGGATCTGTTTGAATGGGTTCAATATGTTAAGCCCCCTGTTACTTGAATTGGATTAAGGTCTAACCCTTATGCAGCAGTTAGAGAATTCCAGATTCTAATTTTGGAATTCTGCTCAGTTGTTTCTTCTGGGCTCATATCTATTCAGCTAATATTGGAGACATGCATCTTCAACAGTGTGTAAGACAAAACAAAGCCCCTGCAGTGTGATCCGACTCCAAAGTCTCAACCTGAATAAGCAAGTTTTATAAAGAAATGAATGTAGACTCAGTTTTTTTTTATTTGTTTATTTTAATGGCCAAATAGTTCAATGGTCTTAGAGTTAATACTGAAAATAGTATTCATAATGAAGGTCATCCATTCTACATTTATGAGTAGGTGACACTCTTAAGGCCTGTTCACATAGACGATAACTACTTTTAATAATCATTAATTCTAATTCTATGAGACTATGGTTCACACCCCAGCTATAACAATCAGTGGTCATTTATCATTGAGATATTATTATAGTGATATTATTTATATTTTTTTTTGTTAAAAGTCTATATAGTTTTTTTTATTAATTTTTATTTTAGTTTTAGTTATTTCAGTAAGTGAAACTAAATGGAAATGTTTCATTGGAAACCTGCTAAAATAAAATTAATTATTTTTTTTAATATAATTTATTTCAAGTAACAATTTTTTATGATTTTAGTTTTAGTTTTAGTTTAGTGTTAGACTATATACCTTGATAACAGTTAAAAAGTAACTTTTTTTGTGGTTTTCGTTTTTGTTAACTTTAACTCTTTCCCCGCCATTGACGAGTTATCTCGTCTTTTAGAAGACAACGCTTCCCCGCCAAAAACGAGTTTTTACGGCTTTTCGTGTTTTCAAGGTTATACACTAGGGGGCGCTACTTACACATCTTCTGAACGAGTACAAAACCTCCCGAACAAAAACACATGTGTACAGGACGGAGAAACGAGCGATTTGTTTAAAAGTAGAGGCTCTGATCTTTATTTTGGTGTATTGCATATTCAAATATTCATACAGCAAAATATTCTGGAGGCCATCAAATTTTAGTGAAAATCATCAAAATCGCTGGCGGTGGCTGGCAACTTTTTTCAAAAATGCTGGCGGGGAAAGAGTTAATAACCCTGATTTCAATAACTACATAGAATAATGATATTGTTGGAATCACTTTATAACTTTTTTTTAAAACATTTTTCAGCTGATAAAAACATAGGCAGCCAATCAGAATCAGACTGAAGATATAACTGCAGTGCGGGCTTATATCAAACAGAGCTTGGTGTGGATGCCAGTGTAGTTATCATTTTATAGTTATTGATCTAATTGTCTTTCTTGATGTGAACGGGCATTCATGAAAACTAAAACATTCTATTTATACGTGCTTATAATTTTCTTTGGGTGTACAACTTTATTAATTCTGTGTACCTTTAAATGAATAAAACACACTTTGGTCTGACCGTTTTGCTAGAAATCTGTCACAGGTATTGCTGTGTAATTAATGCAGTTGTCACTCTGTCTGCAGTTTCCTGTTGTGTGTTCCCATCTGCAGCACAAGGCATGTTCTTTTTGTCCTTTAGATAGAGTCTCCTCTCCCCTCCATGTCTCTCCAATGTGCTGAACTAGAGTGAGTTCAGTAGCTAGCTGTGTACCTGCAGCCTCAGATGTAACTTGCCCTCATGCAGTCTGTCAGGCATAATCACTCATTTTACTTCTCTGTCGGATCATGCTGCTGTGCAGTGGATTTATAAATTTACTTCATCGTTTCTCCCCATAAACTTTACATCCAGTGGTGTGATTGCATAGATCAGAGGTTCTGCCCACATACAGTAGTTTTGTTTCCATGCTTTCCCTCAGCTCTTAGTAATTTTTATAGGCTTAAATTGTGTGCTGTATTCAGATTTTTAAAAGAGTAATTCTCAAATTTCCCAATGCCCTCCTGAAGAACACAGACTCATCCACAATGCCCAAAGTGCTCAGAGAAACGAGGGTATGTCTGCTGCATTTGGTGTTTAGGATTAGCTCAAAGTTTTGTAGATTTTTATAGAATTCTGTAGACATAAAATAAAATAAAATAAAATAGTATAGTGTTTGAGAATTGCGTTATTGAGTTGACTATTGATACCTACTGTTTATAATATAACTTCATGGTAAGCATGTATTTATAATTCATTACAAGGGCTTTCAAAAGGCATTACAATGCATGCATTATATAAAAAAATATTTTATAACATGTTGTACCATCACAGTTATAATACATTGCAACATGCGTTATAATGGATTATACTTCCCAGACTTATAAGTTATCTTTATATTGTTTATTTAAGATCTGCGCAGTATCGTATACGTCTTATGAGTTGTTAGGAGTGGTTGTTCATATTTGAGTGTTTCCAGTGAGGCTAAAGTTAATTTCAGTGTGAGCTAGTTTATAGAATTCTGTAGACATAAAATAAAATAGTATAGTGTTTGGGAATTGCGTTATTGAGTTGACTATTGATACCTACTGTTTATAATATAACTTCATGGTAACACTTATATGAAGCATGTATTTATAATTCATTACAAGGGCTTTCAAAAGGCATTACAATGCAAGCATTATATAAAAAAATATTTTATAACATGTTGTACCATCACAGTTATAATACATTGCAACATAATGGATTATACTTCCCAGACTTATAAGTTATCTTTATATTGTTTATTTAAGATCTGCACAGTATCGTATACGTCTTATGAGTTGTTAGGAGTGGTTGTTCATATTTGAGTGTTTCCAGTGAGGCTAAAGTTAATTTCAGTGTGAGCTAGTTTAAGCTCACTAGTAGCCCGTTAACATTTCAAACGATGCATTATTTGTTGATTTTAAAATAAAACATGCTCAAAGCAATGTCATATGTAACACATTCATGATAACATATGGCTGTTAAAAAATACTTAAATCAGACAAAGACCACTTATAAATATAATGGCCACATGTACTGTGTACAAGAAGACTTTGACCACTTGTAAGATGTAGTAGGATATTGTTTAGATCTTAAACAGTTCTCAAGACTTATAATACATTATAACTATGGGAAAAATCTATTATCATTTTGATGGATTTACTGTATACATGGATATACATGGTGTTAATCATGTGTTAAACCATTATACTGTTAAAATTATAACCACCAGGTAGGTAGGTATTATGTTTGTATAAAGATATTTATATAGAAATATTTATGCAGAATAAGGGTAATGCATTATAGGTATAGTGTTACCCAAGTCAAGGTTTTATCAAAAATATCTGTCAGTTACCACAGAAAATGTAGACTCAGCTAGGGGTGGGCGATAGGGATCGTCTCTATCGCTGTTACACGCTCATGTGACATTGCTGTACTACATGGTCATGAAAACGTATCGTTTGCACGCATTTTTAATCATTGCGGTATAAAAATAAGTGATTTTAAGCCATTGAAATGCAATAGGCAGCAAAAGAGAATTCATTTCGCTATTTCGTGCTGTTAGAGAGCCGTGCGCACATGAAGACGGTGCTCATAGAGAACTGAGCATTGAGTTATTTTTGCTGCTTTATTGGCCTTGAACAGTTAAATACACACCCTTGTATGTGTCAAAATATGCCCGCCTTTGCAAGTATCCTTGTAAACACAGTCATTTAGGTCTTAAATGAAAGTGAACATCTGAGAAAGGAAACACATCTGAGTCACAATTTATTTTAAGGTCATATTAACAAACCATTAACTATGACTTTTGCCTCAATAAAGTTGTTAAGCTCAGGTTTTGGGTTGGAATATAAATGTAAAATATTTTCATGCAGAATATGTGCTTTATAAGTACTAATAAACAGGCAATATGTTAATAATAGGCATGCTAATAAGCAACTAGTTAATAATGAGAATTGGTCCCTATACTAAAGTGTCGCCCACATGTGTAACAGTATATTGGACCCGGGCAGTTCTTAAAGTGACAGCAGTCTAAAATTCCTGCTCTCTGCCATTCATGTTAATCAAACAACAAAAAAGAAAAAATCTCTCACTGCTCTAGACTAAATCACTTTTGTGACTTTAATAGGAAGAAATATATATTTAATTTACACAGAGTAGTATGTGCAGGGTTTTATACATTTGATTACTTAATACAATGTATGTAGCATTTCTTATTTATTTGTTCTATTTTTATTCTATTGCTTGTAATTCGTTTCTTATGCTTATTTGATAGCTGACTGTATGCTTGTCTTCAGTGAGCCTGAGTTTTCATTCATTCATGCATTCATGCATTCATCCATTCCTTCATTCATTCAGGCTAGTATTAGTTTTTTGTGATATTATTGACACTGGTGACAAAAATTATGACATTTCTATGGTGTCAAAAAATTATATATCATAAAGACCCTATTTAAACCAAAAATAACTATATTGTGATATATATATATATATATCATTACCGTGAAATAAGATTACTCATATCATAATATAAGGTTTTGGTCATATCGCCCACCCCAGGGCTCAGCCCTCAATTTATAATAATAAAGGAGCACTCATTTGTAGTGATGCACTTCCAGAGGAAGTCTTTGTGGCAAAATACTGCAACAGGATATGCTTTAAATACACACTCATTGGAAGTATAGCCACAAGATTACTCAGAACACAGCATGTGGCGAGTGTGATAAAGTCACTCACTAAACTTGTCTTTGTAAATTTATATCCAATCTTTCAACTCAATATCTACAGAATACTGTTTACACAGAGCAAACTCCACCTATAGGAATTACATCTGTAGTACATAATCAGAGATGCATCCACCTATACCACTAAAAATACAATGTGGACACTTACAGTACAGTCAAGTCCTTTCATGTTTATTTATATAGCACTTTATACAATACAGATTGCTTCAAAGCAGCTTTACAGTAATAATCAAAATCAAATTTAAAAATTCATTTTTAACTGTAGAGTAACTCTACAGAAGACAATAGTGGCATTACTGAGCTCAATTAAATTTAATTATTCAGCAATCTTATTTGATAGTTAAGTACAGTTAAATCGATACAGTTCAATGAATATTAATTGTCCTTTAAGCCCCAAAAATAACACATTTAGGGGCTTAAAAGCTCAAATAACATTTGTTCAGATAATAATTATAAATTATTTAACAAAGCTTCACATTTTATATAAGTTCTAAATCCCAAATATCTCAAATACAACATTTATAATTGTATGTTCTTTACATACTGTTTTTTGTTTGTTTGTTTTCAAACTGACAGACGAGATCAAATTATTTTCTGTTTTCTTATCATAAAACACGTACATTGGAGCATCAACTTTTGCAACTACAGAGGACATGTTTAAGCGTGTGTGCTGGTGAAATCACCTGACAGATATGAGTCAGGAAAATTGTGTTCTGGATGAGCACAGTCATACATCCGGATATACAGTATGACAAAGACATTACACACACATACCATTCAGTGCTATCTGCAAGAGCTTCTAGGCCCTTGTGATGTTCTGGACAAAAGAGATTAGAAGGTGGAGTTACAGCTGAAATGTTAGCAGACAATAACTTTGTAAAGACATTCACACATTATCATTCCCACTCATGTCAGAGTTGAAAGACAAACCACATCACAGCAATAATGCAGCTGTGAAATTCTAGCAATCAGTGCAGGCTAGGGGTGTGTGATGTTGACAAAACAATGATATCAGGATATTTTCTGGGATTTTGTTGAGAAAGATGATTAGGTTTTTAACTGAATGTGTTTCTGTACTGGTATATTAGCTGGTTTAAGCCTGTCATGGACATGTGACTCCCGAAACATTTCATATTCTCCACATAACTTTATTAGATTTTTGCATCTTATTTTATGTCAGATTCTTACATTTAATCAATAAATTCAATTGGAATAAGACACAACTGTTACCAATCAAATAAAATCAGTATCCATTTTGTACTGCAAAAGCAGTGTTTAGATGTATTTACACTGCAATTACAATTGCATAAATTATAAAATTTTAAAAGAATATTTGAATTTTGAAATATGAAATATGATGTTTTAATGAAATTATATTTTAAATATGAAACTAAAACCACCAGTAGGTGGCAGTTCACTGTATTAATGAGTGAGTCACTGAGTTATTAATTCAGCTGATTGATTCAAATGGCTGATTGATTTAGGAACGAAGCAATTGACTTGCTTTATGAATTGATCATTGAATGATTGATTCATTCAAAAATGCTAATTCATTCAGTAATGACACACCACTGTTTGTTGATGCACAACAGCTCTGTTGCGGCTTTGTTTGGAATGATTTCTTTGGCGAAATAGAGCAAAAACTCACAATATTTATTTCCTTTTTATTGAGCTATTGAAAAAAATAAATATTAAATTTGCAATCATGCTGATATTCGGGAAAACCGCACACTTGCTTGCGTTTACGGCATTGCTTAACTGTGTCATACATTATACAATATGTGAAATACGTTATATGAACTGTAGTCTGTCAGGCTACATCACACAGTGAAAGTGGATGTGCTCTTGTTTGTTTGTTTTTGCAAAATCAATGCTTCCACATGGTTAAAACATCAATCACAATAGATGATACATATCACACACCTTTAGTGCAGACCTGAGTGTGTTAATGTTCTGTGTGCGTTTCTGAATGAGTTCAGCATTGAGTACAAACCGTTCCCTCAGGCACTGCTGCTGACATATTGCATTATGTGTGTGTGTGTGTGTGTTTTCAGAAAATCATGCCCGGCTCGTCTTGTGACAGTCTTGAAAATAACTTTGTGCCCTTTGTGTTAGTTTGTGTGTGTGTGTGTGTGTGTGTAAACCTTCTCTAGTCGGTTTGTGAGCCTGTTTATCTCTCTGTTTGTCGTATGCATAATTTTTGTCTTGTGTGTGAGTATGTTTGTATGTCTTTGTCGATTGGTGAGAGTTAGTAAAATGTGCATCTATGTTATACCTGTTTGTGTGTGTTATTTGTGCGCATCTGTTGCTGTGCGTCTTTGTTCTCACACATAAAAGCCTTTGGCTTGGGCCCAATAACTGGCATGCATGTCAATGACGCTGCTGTTGTGTTGTGGAGGTGATATGTGTGCACAGAGCGCTTTAACTGCTGTAAGACAATGCAAATCCTCACACATCACTCACAGGAAAAGCTGCTGACAGACCTAAGCACAGCTCTTGTAGCATTTAAAAACACGGTTTCAATATGAGAATACTTCCTGTGGTCCTGATCCCTCTCTGCCTTGATTTAGTCTTGTGAGTCTACATCAGGATATGACTCTAGAGTTGTGTGATTTGCTGCTCAAGAAACATTTATTATTATTATCAATGGTGAAAACAGTTATGAATTTCTGACCCCAAACCTTTGAACTGTCGTGTAAATCTTCTGTATCTTCTAAAAGATGCAGAAGAGAGTTTTTTTTTGCCAAAATGTGCAGTAATAGCCTGTGTAATCATGAGAAATATTGCTCTCTGCTGGTGCAGGACTAAAGCTCTGGTGCTGGAGCTGCTGGCTGCTGTGTGTCTGGTTCGAGGAGGTCACGAGATCATCCTCTCCGCCTTTGATCATTTTAAAGTATTGACACACTATTTTCCTATTTAATACTGTAAAGTTGCTTTGACACAATCTGTATTGTGACACTATAAAGGTGACTTGACTTGACTTTACAAGAAGATGATGCATATTTGTCATGCTTGAAAATAATTTTAAACATCTTGAGAAGTAGTTCTTTGTTTAAAATAATAGTTTACCTTTTAAAAGAAAGAACTACCTTTCAAAAGTTTGGGGTCAGTAAGTTTTTTTGAAGGAAATTAATATTTTTATTCAGCAAGAATGCATTAAATTGACAGCAAAGACATTTATAAAGGTACGATTTAATATAAATGTTGTTCTTTTGAACTTTCAGTACTTTCAGTACCCAAAACTTTTGATTGATAGGGTATGTTATAGCTATAACATCATCCTCATGTTGTTCCACAACTTTATTTCTTCTGTAGAAAACAAAAGGAGATATTTTGCGGAATGTACTAACTGCTTCTTTTCTGTGCAATGAAAGTGAATGTGAACATCTGCAAAACATCTCCTGTGTTCCACAGAAGAACTAGAGTCAAATGGGTTTGGAACAGCGCAAGGGTGACTAAATGATGACAGTATTTCCATATGTTGGATGAACTACTGATTTCATTGGTTAATAAACTCTCTCAGGTCTAACACGTTACCCAGCCGGAGGACACTGAAGAATTCCAGATTAGTATGTAAGAAAGACGACGTTCATGTGTGCATCATGTGCCTACGAGCCATCATGAACTACCAGGTAAAACACACACATCAAACCTTTGAATTTATATTAGTAAAGACCTCTCGTAGGGCTTTCCAGTCTCTCCAGATCATAGAACACAATACAAAATCAACAAAATGCCACTTTTTCGTGATAACTGCTAAATAATCACAAAAAGCAACGTACTACTTAAAGTTATTATAAGTAAGTTAGTGTGATAAACATGCATGAATTAAAATAAATTGTGGGATGTGCTTGGTGTTAAAACAAGTTATTAAATGCAAAGATTGTGCATTTTTTGATTTGATGTACAAGTTTTGAATTACTGTATTAATTACTGTAATACTGAAATTCCTGTAGTATTAAATAAAACATTTTTTTGTCTGTCGTATGACTTGTACATCCAGTGTCGAACGTAAATTTCCCCCTTATCTCTGTAAATGACTGCTGCAAAATCAGTCATTTTGATAGCAAAAAATCACTCAAAAAATTGTCAAGTCCTGGTGAGACTGGTTTTAATACTACGCTATATCCAACTTCTAACACTCACAAAAACCTGTTGACATTATTATAATTAAAGAAAAAAGATCACAAACAGTGAGGTCCAGCTGTTCAACAGGTTTCAGTTCATTAGTGAAGACATTTTGGGCCTCACTTGTACAGAAAACCCAAACACACACTCAGACACACACACTGAATCATGTTTTATGTTCAGATAATAAATCTTGAAGATCTTGCTATGTTTACTAATTAGCCCTCTCTCTGTCTTTCTCTCAGTATGGCTTCAACACACACACACACACACACACACACACACAAATGATTCAATTACAGAGGCACTGTTTTCAGTTTAAAAGCTGTAGTCTGTGTTCCAGAAGCCACTCAGTGATAGCTTAATAGATATGATCCATGATAACGGATAACTATACATATGACTGAGGGCAGTGTGTAAAGTTTTAGGCTGACTGTCCTGTACAGTAAATAGGTTTAGACACACACCTGCTAAACACATCACAAGACAGGATCACAACAGCTTCTGAATGTATTCATATCTCTCTGGTCTGTGGAGGAGAGATCAAGCTAGTATGATTTCCTAAGGGGATGATTTGAGAACCAAAAATGAACTACTGTACTGCATCAAGGTGTTTTTGAAATATCAAAAGATTTTATTAGAGGCTAAAAGAGATTCATCAAAATCTCATTTTCATTTTCTCTGGGCATTATTTTAATGTTCTCTCTCTCACTGCATGAGCTATTTCTTTCTTGCTTTGCAGGTGTGTTCAGAAGATCAGCGGTTTGAGAAACTCATGGAGCATTTCAAGAACGAAGATAATAACATCGACTTCATGGTATGGGTTAGACCAGCATCCAAATATACACATTTCCATTAGCAATCATGATTATTAATACTCTAAAATGCATACCACACTGTACCACTGATTGACACTTTCGGCTGTGAGATATAATTATTCAAACAAATAGCTTATTGCAGGAGAGACTCATATCCTACTTAAGAGCGTCATTAAGCAGCGATCCAAGAACATAATATCATATATGACAGCATTGTCAAATAGGCTAAAATATTAAATAAAGATGGCTAAAAGCACAATGCAGCTTGCAAGGATAATGTTCATGTAAAAATGCTCGCCTGGACATTTTCAAGCATATTCCACAGCTACTTACCAAAGAAATGCACATGATGTATCAATTTGAGTTTAAAACACAGCTATATAGAAACAACGTCCCATTAAGTTTAGCAATCAATATACAAAAATATTGATTAATTATAATATTGATAATTGAATATTATTTGTATAGTGCTTTACACACACACACACACACACACACACACACACACACACACTGATTCATGGAAAGCTGTTTGGTCTTTATCATGTTTAATGTTCAGATAATAAATCTTGAAGATCCTGCCATGTTTACTAATTAGTCCTCTCTCTGTCTTTCTCTCAGTATGGCTTCAACATGGTCATGTCTCACCCTCATGCTGTGAATGAAATTGCACTAAGTCTGAACAATAAGAATCCCAGGTAACCCATTGAGCTGGAGTAAATGTGTGTGTGTGTATCTCTGAAAGAGAGGCTACTTTCCCAGAATCCACCGCTTTAATTCCTCCTCTTTCAGGGCAGCTACAACAACAGACCCCTTAATCTCAGTGTGTGGTTGGATGGGTTCTTTACGCCATCTGTATAAATGACAGAAATTGGAGAAAATGTTAAATATTTGTTTTGTTTTTTGGGGTCAATCTTTTTTTTCTTTTATGTGTTTGAAACAAGTCTCGTATGCTCACTAAAGCTGGATTTATTTGATCGAAAATACAGTAAAAACATCAATATTGTGAAAAAACATTACAATTTAAAAGAACTGTTTTCTGTTTTAATATATTTTAAAATGTATTTTAATCTCATGATCAAAGCTTGAATTTTCAGCATCATTACGCCAGTCATCAGTGTCACATGATCCTTCAGAAATCACTCTTCATATTGATTTGAAAACCTTTAAAAAAAATCACTTGCTCTCTTATGTCGGTTATGGTCATGTTATGCATTATTACAGATTATATACACAGCTTGTGATAAACAGCTTTATTTCTATTAATTGTGCAGCCCCGTTTATATATTTAAATGTTACAGTTCATTTAATTAATTAGCCGTTTGTCAGCTCACAAACCCCCTACGGTTCCCACACAAACCCCCAGGGGTTCGCTTGAACTCAAAACTCGTGCTCCCTGTGGTGACAGGAGGTGTGTAAAGACGCCAGCTCTCAGGTGCACACCCTGCGGCGGATGGTGAAGGAGAAGGACGAGACCATTCAGAAGCAGTGCAACCTGGAGAAGAAGATCCACGAGCTGGAGAAACAGGGAACCATCAAGATCCAGAAAAAAGCGGACGGGGACATTGCCATCCTGACGTCCCCTCCTGAGGGGAGCGGGCCTCTGCCAGGGTCACAGGGCGTAGCTGGGGTGTCCGGTGAGGGTGCGGCACATGGCCTGACCATGCCTGAACCTCCGCCTCCTCCTATGCCAGAGACATGTGAGTGACCTCTCCTCATTTTATGTACTGGATGTAAGTTTGACATTGTAATACAGTCTTAGGGCTGCACGATTATGACAAAAATCATAATTGTCGATTATTCCCTTGAAATTGTTATTTACGCGTGCAGAATAACATAAGTGGACTTTGAACGATTAATTGCCGCTTTGAGCGATTACGTAATTGTGGCATCCATAATTGTAAACGCGATTAGAAATTTGATTAATTGTGCAGCCCTAATTTTATTCTATTTGGATTACTTTATTCACTATGTTTTGCTTGAGGCCAAAACCCGAGGTGGACAGTAAATACTCGAGTAAATTTAAAAAGTATCTGTACTTTATCAGTGTTTCTCTTTGGAAAACTTTTACTTCACTACATTCCAAAGCATAAAGCCTCGTACACACCGGGACGATTATCGCGCGCGCTTATCGCCGACGTTTTTCGACGTGTCTTTTGTGTTCATACCCAAGCGATTTTTATATTAAAGGGGTCATATGATGCTGCTAAAAAGAACATTATTTTGTGTATTTGGTGTAATGAAATGTGTTTATGCGGTTTAAAGTTCAAAAAACACATTATTTTCCACATACTGTACATTATTGTTTCTCCTCTATGCCCCGCCTTTTTGAAACGCGTCGATTTTTACAAAACTCATCGGTCTGAAAAAGCGAGGTATGCTGTGATTGGCCAGCTATCCAGTGCGTTGTGTATCTCTTTGGTTTTGAGACTTTAGTCTTTGCAACTTTACAGATCTTCTTTATGCACCAAGAGCTCGTAACACTCCAAAGAGAAAGGAAAAATTGAAATCGCATCATATGACCCCTTTAAGTGGCCTTAACTATTATGTACTTACATTTAAATTAATAATTTGGTACAATGCACTGATTGTGTACATGTTTTTACATTGTACTTGTATTCTAAAAATACCTGCATGTAATTACATCTGTAATTAATTTCTGTAATTACATTTATACTTATACTGTTGACCCATCCCACAAGCAAACAAAATGTGTTTTGCAATACAGTATGAACACAATAAGTGCATTGTACTTATTTTTTGATGTAAGTACATAGTAGTTAAGGCCACTTAATATAAAGTGGGACCA